TCTCATAGGTATGTCTGAGTACACATTCGTGTTGCACTCGATCCTGTGCAAGCAACTCCCCACCACAACGTTTTTTTGTGCCTTGCTCCCCCAGGGTGCAAAAATTACAGCAAAAGTGATTTTCGGACCTGTGGCACTTTTTTCCCCGTTTCCCGTTTGGGGGGAAATGGATACAAAGGTTTCGTCGTGGGGGGGAGGTTTTACGACTTTTTGCTTCTTTTACACGTCTGGATGTAAATGCTTGCCTCGTTCTTTTTTTTTTTTTTTTTTTTTTTTTTTTTTCCTCGTTGTTACGTCGTAGACAAACTTTAAGAGGGTTTCAAATGATCTCACCCTGCTTCCTAGGTCCACTACTCCACGCCACGTGGAACGCCCAATATAACTGCAGATSCTGCAAGCTGGGTTAACTCGCATTCAGGCCGTAGAATGGTGTTGGGTGACCAAGGCTCGYMTCAGTTCTTGGAGAACATCCGCTATGCGGGTGCTCTTCCTTCAAACTTCCGTGTTCTGGTGCACCCGCTCCCTCCACTGTCTGATCGTGATGAATCTAGTGGATTTCAAGAATCGCACGTCCCGCATGAGAGTCTAGTCTAGCTATTATTACCTAGAACTGCGACTCTCCCCTTCTTATTTTTGGTCCTCTTGGCAAGGGGCAATCTTGAAATTTGGTAAATGGGTAGTCTTCTTTGTTTGTTCCCCCTTTCTGGTCATACTCATCCTTTAATTTTGTTTCTCTTCAGGGGCTCAGAATTGTTGGGGCTCACAACTRGCAGAAGAACCCGCCTGTTCTGTCCTCGCGGTTCAATTTCGTTGTCCGAAATCCTTAAGCAACCCCCCCCCTGTACTCTCGTCGACACTGGACTTTTGGTTGTGTATCACATATTATCCATTCTAGTACTGCATCCAACACCACTGGTACTTCATCCAACACTAGTTGAATGCAGTCAGGGCGTACTCACAAACAGTAAGCAATTTTATTTTTTTTTGGCACAAACGGGGAACGGGGACCAGCGTCCCATAACGAGTACATTCAAAAAACTCATCAGAAAATTTCATGAAAATGAGACTAAGAACCTGCTAGAAAAATGTTTTTTTTTTTAATAGAAAACCTGCGTATACTACAGACCTTTAACCAACTGCAATTTTGCTTCCGCGATTTTGAGAATTAGGTGTGCGGCAGACTCAGGGGCTCGTTAGACACTCCTCGGGCGCTCAAAAATCCCGAGGAATTGATCATTCCATCTGTCCTCGGAGAGTGCTCCCTCGAAATCGATGTGAAAACATTTCCTCGGGGCGTCCTCGGGCCGTCCTCGGGCTACAGGAATTTGGTTGTATTCCCCAAGGTACCTCGCGAGGTCCCTCGGAGTGGGAGTTTCCGCGAAATTTGGGACGGCGGCGGCGCTCTTCGACGACGTCAAAATTTTGTAGTCTGGTACATTGCTGGTCCACCCGAGGTTCGGACGGACATTAGCGGCCGGCAACGTTCGACTCCGGCGGGAACGACCGCAACGGTAAGGTTGGGTGGCRGACGGGGTCCCTGGCCGTTGCCGGTTTATCCCGGCCCCTCACCAGCGTTGACGGGAAACGGGAAGGCCTCCAATGGCCGGCTGTTTCGAGAATGACAGCGGCGTACGTCCGTCACCACGCGCAGTGGTCCACAATGTAAAGTGGCAGAGGGCGTCGGCAGTCGTGCCCACGCACGCCTGCTGTTTGCCGTCGTCTGGGTAGACGTTACGTTGTCGTGCGTTGTTGTCGTTAGTTGCCCTTGCGAGAACGATTGTGTTACATGGCCGACGTGCTCCGCAAGCTGCTGCTGGTCCTCCTCGTCGTGATTCTGCTTCTAGTTGTCGTCTTTGTTCAGGTGTGCATATTGGGGAGGTTGCCTTCACGTACTCGCAGGAAACGAGGGGTGAGGAAGAGTGTGGCCATGGACGGGCGGCGRCMAAATRTTGCCACGTTGTCGGACACTTATCCCAGCCACCGGCCTGCGATCTGCACCGGTGTAGACAGAAGGGCGTCAGGTCCGTCGCCGTACGAAGGACTCCCGCCTCACATGCAGCCTCTGCCCGATTCGGACGAGGGGGAGGCGGACGTGGACGTGTCAAACACAGTTCCGCTGGGTAGCGGGTCGACCCAGGAATGGACGGGTAGCCAGTTGTTTGATCCGCACAGAGCGAAGTACAGGCAGCCGTTCACTTCCCTCCTCCACGAAGGTGCTCTGGAAGAGGAACGCCTCCTCCTGTGGATCTCACATTTGGCGTGCAGAGCGGGAGCCCATCTTCTGCCACCCGCATTGTGCCTGTGAACCCTCATCCCAACGACGACACGGGGAAGGTGACATTGGTCGGCAGGGGCACGAGGGGTGGTTTTGCGCCTCAGGAAACGTCCGAAAAGACGAGGGAGCGGCCTCGAGTGCAGGTGACTTCTGGCCCGTCAATTCCACGCACCACCGCTGGTCGCCCTAAGTGGATAAACCCCCCTCCTGCGTTCTCCAGGGACCACGACACCGTTCCTCGTCCAGTTGAACGGGGTGTGAGTGAGGAAGACTTCCCTTTCGAGGGCGCGTGTGGAGATGGCAGGCGGGTATGGAAGGAGTTGAGGCAGGAGTTGCGGCGGCAGCAAGAAGAGTCCATAACGCAAGGTGTGCAACGATTACGCRTGGGCGAGCGGGCCGGGCAAGCAGACGCGGTTGGCGGGGGGGGATGACATCTGGAAAGACGGTGACGAAGTTCAGTGCGACGCTGAGGAGGACGACATCGGTGACGTGTTCCCGTTGCGTGCTCCGAACATGGGTGGCAGGGGCGGCAGAGGCAGGGCTTCGACGAATGTTGGGCGGAGGTGGAAGAGGCCGTCGGCGACCTCTGCTGATGCGGAAGGTGAGGGGGATGGGGAGGGTGGCCGGAATTTCTGGTCTGTGGATCACATGGTGACCCTCATAAGGGCGAAGCGGGATCAGGACGCCCAGCTGCAAGCGGCRGGGCACRCATTCGCACGGATGCAGTCGAGGGAGTGGAAATGGTTGGACGTCCGGGAGAGGTTGCTGAAGGTCRGTGTWKACAGGCGGACAGACAAATGTGGGAAGAAATGGRATAATCTCATGCAACAGTTCAAAAAGATCCACACTTTCATGGGCATGTCGGGGAAGGAGGACTTCTTCCAGTTGACGAGTCAGCAAAGGGCAGAGAAAGGATTCAGCTTCAACATGGATCGGGCCGTCTACGAGGAGATCAAAGGGGTAAAGGAGAGGAGCCACACTATCAGCCCGAGCAATGTTGCAGACACCGGTGGCGCAGGAGGTGTGCAACTCCGATCTGCTTAGTCGGCGACTCCGGAGTCAGGGGGTGACGGGGATGCCGCTGGAGATGGCAACGACGAAGACGACAACTCAGCGCGTGGGGCCTCACAGACGACAGGAAGTCCAGCCGATTTCGGTAAGAGGAAAAACGTCCAGCAGCAGACATTCGAGGCCTTAAGCGAGTGCATGGAGAAGCATGGGGCGTTGATGGCGTCGACGATGGAGAGCGCAAGCATGAGGCAGTGCGAGGCGATGGAGAGAGCGAGCAAGAGGCAATGCTCCATTCAAATTCGGCAGTGTGAGGCTATCGAAGCGGAGGTGGAGGTCCAGAAGCAACACTGCGCTGCGTAGTTAGCAAGCTTATGTGTCAGGCGCTGATGGAAATAGCGAAGGCTATACGAGAGCGGTAGAGGGGAACGTCAGCCACAGGGCATTTTTCAGCTATGGATGTCACTCTGTTGCCACGCACGTGTCGTGTACTTAAGTCGGATGGAGTTCATTCGCACTCGTAGTTCATTCCGTGTCATGGGTTTGTTTTTTCGATTTGTGTCTGTAGAGAAGTGGCAGATTGCCTGTCATGCGCGTACTTCTGTCGGTCTGTGCGTCTTCTCCGTGGATTTATTCCATTGTTCATTGTGGAGCATGGATTGCCCTTGTTTTTTTACTTATTTGTTTATCGCTTCGACCGTAGTTGTATCGTGCTCGTAATCGGGAGGTGGTCGGATGATCCGACCACACTTCGATGATGAACTTGGCGGGTATAGGTTCTTGGACGACCGTTTGATTCATTTTTTCAGTTTGCGAAGTGGATACATAGAAAGAGAGTGAGAATTGGAAATTTGTTATTGTTGGCTCCTATTGCTGAATTTGGCTTCCAGTTCGTGTCACCGACGATGCACTTGTTCAATGTATGTGTTCCCTTGTCCTCTGTGTATTGGTTTGTTAAAGAGAGAGAGAGAGAGAGAGAGAGAGAGAGAGAGAGAGAGAGAGAGAGAGAGAGAGAGAGAGAGAACTTTGATTTGCAATATGGTAGGCTGTTATGATGTGGACGTTTTCTTGGCTCTCTTCAGTGCATGATATTTGCTTACCTTGCAGTAAACACGTGTCTCTGGGCACCACGTATTTCGTTTATTGTGTCGTATTGAATGAACATTTCTTTAATCAACGGTGTTGCTATTTATGTCACGCCATTTAACATCTCCCTCGAAAAAGTTTCGAAGTTTGAAATTCAATTTGTATGTTGGACTTCCCTTTACTTCTTTTTTTTTCTGTTTGTTTTTTTTTTCCGGCGTGCGTATCAGACTCCTATGACACGGCCAGTCCCTTCACTGCATGTTTTTTTTTTCGGGCGGCAACACATGCAGTGTTCGTTTTTTTTTGGGGGGGGTCTGATTGGCGGAATGCCGCACACCGTCCGTGTGTCGGAAAAGGGGGTTGCAAATGGAATGGTCCCTCTGCCATTCCGTTCACCATGTAGCCAACCTGTGCACTGTCGCCGGCGCGTGAGGAACACTTGCCACGAATACGATATGACATGTCCACGCAGGCGGTGGCCAGACGTCATCTTTGCGTTCGGACTCCTCGTCGCGCACTGCCTGTGTCGCCGCCATCGCGCAGTCCCGACGTCATCTTCACGTTGGGACTCCTTTTCGCGCACTGTGTGTCTCGCCGCCATCTCTCTCGCCAGACGTCATCTTCACGTTGGGACTCCTGTTCGCGCACTGTTCGTCTCGTCGCCATCTATCTCGCCAGACATCATCTTCACGTTGGGTCTCCTGCTCGCGCACTGTTCGTCTCGCCGCCATCTATCTCCCCAGACGTCATCTTCACGTTGGGACTCCTGTTCACGCACTGTGTGTGTCGCCGCCATCTATCTCGCCAGATGTTATCTCCACGTTGGGATTCCTGTTCGCGCACTGTGTGTCTGCCGCCACCGTTCTCGCCAAACGTCATCTTCACGTTCAGACTCCTGTTCGCGCGTTGTGTGTCTCGCCGCCATATATCTCGCCAGACGCCATCTTCACATTGGGACTCCTGTTCGCGCACTCTGTGTCTCGCCGCCATCTCTCTCACCAGACGCCGTTTTCGCCAGACGTCGTATTCACGCTTGGACTCCACCTGCGCAAGCTTTCCCTCGCCGCCATCGTTCTTGCCCTTCCTTCTTCGCGACCGGTCGCCTTTCTCCCCGTTCGGTCGGGCATCGCTGTGGCAGCCGTGTGGTTGCCGTCTCTTCGTCATCGCCATCATCGTCGTCTGTCTTCTCGGCGATGACGAATACTCGCAACTCTGGCAAGGGGAAAAGGGAGAGGGATTCCCAGAAAACAAAAGCTGCCAGCGTCGTGAAGTGGGGGAGACATCAGGCGAAGAAGCCCAAGGCATCAAGCGACGGTGCTCTGGTGATCGGGAGGTCCGCGCGGGAAGAGTGGGTTACCGAGGCCAGCAGCGGACAGGACGACGATTTCGAATCGGAGGCGGAGACGTTTCATGGGAGGAAAGCTATGAAACACCCGCAGACGCGTCCGCGGGGTCGAGCTCGGATCGCGGACCCAAATGGGTCTGCATCCGCGGCCTACCTGGTCCGCACCGCGGACCCGATTTTACACGAATTTTCCTGAATTAAATAATAGGTAAAAAACAAAAGA